TAACGGCAATTGCTACTACTAAAAAGCCAAATTACGTTATGAGGTAACTCAGATTTGTAAACTTGATACATAAAAGTCAATAACGTTCTCTTGTACATGGAATTAATCGATTCCCATCAAGCTATTGTAAAAACTTCTTGGTTCCTAACATCAGATAGCATGTAGATAATCTTGGCTGCCCTTGCGTGGATATGCTCTACTTCATGCAATAATGTAGGTGAGCAGGTACCCCAAACTAAATTGCAATAAGTGACAGTGGGAATAATACTTGTAAAGTAAACAGACTGTTGTTAAATACTTGCGCCCTTTTAGCTGATTTACTTTCCGGCCAAAGGACCTACAAATTAATTCAGTTGCTTCATAAAAGTCAGCATTCAGCGTCGCAGGAAACCTTGTTATGGTCGTGAAATTCACGTTCGAAGCGTATTTGGTAATTCTCTCCAAAATCCAAGACACTTCAGTGCGCGAGGTCGCGAGGAGTCACTCGAGCTGTATTCTATCCTTTGATCTGATTGGCCTACATCAAAACATGCAAGAGGTTTTACGTCACGGAAATCGTTTTGTCGCTCGGGTTCGCAGACGCTATTTTTTCGGAGGGGAGAAGCAACGACCGGAAATGCGTCTGCTGTTCGCAGGCTAAGTGTACTATGTATTTATTATAATTCAGTATCATATGATATTGTTTTTCCTAACCCCAAAATTTTGTTTTATCCTTATGGATAAACTACCACTGCCTACTTTAATGAGGTGGATATTTGGACCGCTGATACGGGGTAAAAGTAGACCATTTTCGGGCTTTGTGTACCACAAATTCTGACAAAATTTCTGACTGGGACCACCAGAGGCTGCAATTCAGCAGAGTAAAGAAAGGGCAAAGCCGACACAAGATAGCTCCATGAGCAAACGAACAACCAACAAACCGCTCTTTTTGGAGCCAACAGCTTTATGAAAACTATGACCTCAATGAGTAACAGTTCCTTTCCACAATTGTAATATTTAGTAATATATTTTTATTATCTGTGTGCTATTATTTTGAACACGGACCTTGGATTGTTAGGCCATTTTTTACTAATCTATACAAACTGTACTTTTCTCTTATTATACTGTTAAGTGAACAAATTCAGGAAAAGTACTGTGACAATGGCTTGGGTAAAAGACAAGACTTCATTGGGTGTCCAATAAGGAGATTCAATGTAGTCATTGGACCATTAAGCCTTAACAACAGCTTCTCGATCTGCGTTTTAAAAAAAGAGACGGTTATTTTGTTTGGCTATAGCTCACATTACATCACCCTGTAGCTGCTACCATTAAATACCAATTTCTGAGGGGCCAATTGCTTATAATTTCCTGCATTTTAAGAGTGCAATATCTTTGTCTTAGATTCATGCATTTCTATTTTACACCATGACCAAAAAAAGAAGTAAAACCATTAAGTTATACTGGTGGAGATCTATTTCTGAAATGCATGTGATAATTTTCTGAGATTTATTGTCAAAAGTTTCAATCCTTTTGAAATGCCATTTTTGGTACACCCAAGCTGCATTTGGGTGTTACTGCAATCAGCACATCTGTCTCTGCTGTGGTTTTCCTACTAGTTGGCATTGCCGGATGATACAACTTGAACATCAACTGCAACCAAAACATTCATTACACTAATAAACTAAGCTACTTGCATTTCTTGGGGAGTTGTGTGGGCGGAGGGGGTATATTTTTTACCTAGTTACCTAGTTTTACAAACCTTATTTAAAAAAAAACCTGAGTCAATGACCACAGTTTAGGTGGGTGAATGCGGACATGTCTATGTTATCATTACTTGCTAGGCTGGCCTTTCTTGTAACCACACCGAAGGGTATGCAGTTGTTTCTTATGTCATTTTTTCTTTTTTTACCAGAGGACATGGTTGCTATGTTTTTCAGGAATAATTCATACTCCCTTCATATGAAGTTGTTTAGAGTTAGACTCGGATCCTTTGAGGGGTAGGGTAAGGGAGTATCTCAAACCATTTTAAGCTGGGGATGTATAGATATGACCTGGAAAACACATCCTAGACCATGTCCTCCAGATTTTTAGGGGGGCGGGAATTGCATCGATGCATGTTTTTTAGGTTTATGTACTAAGGGGTGGAGAGTGGGAATGGAGGGAGGTGTCTGCGCAAATCATCTCCATCTCTGTATTTCAGTTTACTTAGACCTTTTCGGCTCTAGGTTACAGTTAGTCATATTAGGTATCACTGTTAACATCCATAATCCTTCGGGGCCCGCTAGTCCCGTTTCAATTTCGTGTTGATGCGATTCTGTGGTAATTTTCCGGTAAGTGCAGCTCTTTGAGGACACAATAGTTCAATGACTATATACTGGTTCAATAACCATGGCAAAAGTTCAAAAATCGCTTAGTTCCCTTTTATTATAGGTTATTATTATTTGGTAGTTTGTGGCGTTCCCCTGGATTCAGTTCTTGGACCTTTACGTTTTCTTTTATTCGTCAATGATCTTTTTCATGTCTTCAACCTCTTGTCTATCATTCTCTTTGCTGATGATACAAATATCTTTCTTCGTCATAATGACCTGGTTGCCTTAGCAACCATTCTTAATGTAGAGCTCTCTCATGTTTCTTCTTGGTTTAATGCTAACAAACTCACTGTTCATCCTGCCAAGTCTAAATTCATGATTTTTCCCCCTCGACGTAAACAAATTAACTCCTCAGATATAAACATATTTATAAATAATTCTCTCATCACACGTGTGTAGGAAGACAAATTTCTTGGGATTATCATTCTTGAAAATTTATCTTGGAAACTGCATATCTCTGCTGTCTGTGATAAAGTCTCTAAAGTAATAGGAGTCTTATGCAAGTCAGGGCGATACTTACCTTTGAGTACTTTGAAAACTTTATATAATTTTCTTTTCTTACCTTACATCAATTATTGTATTTTAATATGGGCATCTACTTATTCTTCTTATCTTAAACCCCTTTATGTACTTCAAAAGAAAGCCGTTCGTATAATTACTTTTTTCCTCCGCGCACATCCTCTAAGCCCCTTTTTTCTAAGCATAATATTCTTTCACTCTACTCTATCTATAAATTCCATGTTGCTTGTTTTGTATTCTCAAATTGTAATAGCCTTTTACCTACTCCTGTTTCCTTGATCCTTCATTTTAATTCTGAATATCACAATTAAAACCTGCATAAAACCTGTCATAAGTATCAATTTGCTATCACTTGGCAAGCTCCTATTATTTGGAAGAACATTCCGTTAACTGTGCGCAATAATCTCACAGTAAGTAACTTTAAAAAAACTTAAAACTGTATTTTTCTGAGTAGTTAATTAGCCTACGCATAATCTGTACACCTTATGGGACTATACTAGGTGCATTTGTTTCTATTTGTTTGTGTGGTTTATAGGAATTATTAGTTACTTAAATATTTGAAATTATTTGCCAAGTATTGTATTTCAGCTGTAATTTTTTTTTCAGACCGACCTTTTCTTTCTTGATTTAATTGTATTGTAATTATTTTAGTTAAAGCCTTCTTCTATTCCCGTAAATTCTTCACGTCTTTTTTTGCTGACCTTAGGCCATTTAAGCCCCCGGCTGTGGCTGTTCTTGTGTATTTTTTCTTCCAGTGTGTGATATGTATTAATAAAGTTAAAGTTAAGTTAATAATTCATGCCAATTTGATTTTTATATTGTATTTAGACATTGCTCCTCCAACACATGTACAGGCAGTCTGCTCGTTCGACCTTTTTGCTTCAGTGCTAGTAATCTGCTAACAACGTTCAGTAGAAATATGCTTCTGCTTTTTTATGCTTATGGTTAGTCTTCTTTCTTTAGGTCCTGTTATTCAAATGTATTCATCCATCCACTGTCTATAACCTTGTCATTGTTATAATTTGTTTAAAAATAGGCAAGCGGGTGGGCCCTTCAGCCATCCCTTTTAAGATTTACAATGTATTGTGTGATTTAATTGGATCGAGTGCTTCGACTCCTGCATCTCTTATTTTTTTCTTTTGGGAATCATTTTTTATCTTATATTTAAAAATTATTCGCTTCAGGCTCAGTTAATATTGTTGAATAATCCCCGAGACGAAGTCGAGGGGATTATTCAGCAATATTAACTGAGCCTGGAGCGAATAATTGTTTTAGTATAATTGGAAAGCTGAACAACAGAGAAATCGCCAATTAACACTTTAAATTTTGCTGTTTAATTTCTCAGTAAGCCTCAAGCACATGCGCTATGTGGGGGGTCTCACGAACGAGCAAATGGTCACTTGTTAAACTTTTCAAACGGACTTCGTTGATTTCGTGTCAAAGTTTCAAACAAGCGAACAGCAGTCAGAAAGACCGCTCAGTTGTTCCTGGATTTGCTCGAAAACAGCTCTTTACAAAAACAAAGTCAAAGGAAATAGCTGCAAGGGCTAACAATTACTTGTTGATGTTAATATTGAACGTGAAAGAACATCCATGAAAGCTGCCCGATGGCAGAATCGCACTTGGGTTTACGCCGTTGGCAATGAAGACACTTTGTTCGTCTTGAATGATGAAAATGCTGGTTGCTGTTGTTGGAATAGCTATTACTTCAGTTGGAGTGCTTGGGACTGCTTTGGTTGACCCAGAGGTTGAGGAAGACGACGCAGCTTGCTCTGGTAGCGTGTTTTCCTTTCCATGTATCAATGAAGTCAGCGCCAAAGACATGTGCTGGAATTGACGCAGGGTTGGCCTTTCACAGTAACTTTCGATGTTTGCCTCGCTTTTATGGCCAGTCACTGCTTTTTAATTAATTTGCCGTGTCTCCACGTTCACTAAAGAAAGAACGGTGACTGTTGTGGTCCTGAGAGAGTGGTTCGTGAAATATGGCTGGATCCGGCTCTCTGGGTCATGTTCTTCAGCATATTTTCCAGCGTGTTGTGGCCTAAAACCTTCCGCTCGAACCAGATGCTATCCTCTTCTGGAACCTTACACTTGCATCCTTGGGCCGCTGGAATAACGCATCCACCTCTGGATTCAGACGGGAAAGGTACGCTTTAATATTCTTAACCGGCATCTTTTGGAAGCGGGGCATGAGAATATTTTCCCATCTCCGTGATCTTCACTGCCATCAATGCCGCCCGTGTGATTTTTAGTGGAGAGCACTGCGCCTGGTTCTGCTTTATTTAGCTCAAAGAATTCTTCACCTCTAGCTGTCACCGTCAGACGGAGCATAAATTTCTTCATTAAACTTTGATTTTCTCTCCCTCTTTTCCCGAGAAAGAGAGAAACGTAAGAGCATGTTGTCTGCAGCAAAGCGAGAGGATTTTTTGTTTCCGCACACGCCAATTCTCCTGCCTCAAACAGCTTTTGTATTACTTCCGCTGTTAAGGGATTTTTGTGAGCCGTACCGGCAATTTTCCCTCTACTGGCAAGGTGCTTAAGGTAGGAATTTAAAGCTTTATTTGCCTCGTTAAATTGAATTGTGTCGCAAATGAAGAATTTCTTATTTATAGGCGGTGATCGTAGATAGCGATGTAGGCCTGCCCTGATAGACAACAGACTTGTCTTCTTGTAATGACTTCTGTCTTGCTTTCTTGCTGATAAGTAAAACTTTGAGAGACAGTTGTTTATTTCTGTCACTTCCATGGACTCAAACTCAGTTGTGAATTCAGCTTGTTGTGCAAACCTTTCTGAGAAACAAATATTAAACAGCAAGTTCAGCTTCTGTTATCGATCTGTGACAGTTTGTTAAGTTTCAAAATAAAATAGTAAGACTTTCGGAAGAAGTTGACTTACCTTTGAAAAGTCTTAACCATACTTCGTAGCATTTTGTGTTGATTTCGGGACCGCATTGACCTTTATTTCTCTGATTTCCTCGTCCGAAACGTTTGCAAAACGGCTGCTGGCAACCATGTTGTTTTGGTCTTATATTCACCACGCTAGGCGGTGAAAATAGCGTCATATGCGGAACCGCTCAACCAATCAGATGGCAGAAAACTCTTTGTTCAGCTTTCCATTTATACTAATTAAGGATAAGGGGTAAGGGGTCTTAAATATATTTATTTATATTATTGCTTGCTAGGTGCTTCCCTTATTTGGAAATTCATAGAAGTTGGTGGGAAAAATCATACAGTGCATGATGCAGGAAGTGCTGCTTAGAGAAGGGATGTTACTTTGTGACAAAAGTAGTAGATTGCTACATCAAGAAAGTCAGTTAAAGAAGTGGAGGGTGATAGAGATGAAGAGGATAATACGGAGAGACATGAGACTATACACAATAGGAAAAATTTCTGATGAAATAGTTTTTTCTTTTTCCATTGACCGTATAAGTATAATTTTTTTTTATTGACTGTATACACATATTTTTAAAACAAAAAAAACAGGTTGCAACTGCTTTGTACTCTTTTCTCTTTAATAAAGATGTTATTTTTATTACATTTTCTTCAAAAACTTTTTCTTTATATTGAAAGTATATGTATACAAATTATTAACAAATTTTATGTTTTTTACTTTTATTTGCCAGGATAGTTTTTATGCTACTCATTATCCTCAGCCAAAATATCGTGGATCAAGCGGTCTAGCTGCCCAGTCATAAGTTGTAGCTGAGCAGCCACCCACTTGGCTTCGATGACTGCATCTTTAATTTGCTGGGCCTTTCTTTGAAGTATTTCAGTAACAAAGGAAAAAAACCTAATTTGTTTCCACCTTCAACACACTATTACATTTATATGGCGATTCACAAAACTAGTTTCGTCTAACGACCTCCTTAGTTGATCGTCACAGTATTCAAAATAACAGACACTCTACGTAGTAATGTGTGAAAAATAACCCGTAGTAGTGATGAGGCTATTGGCTTGCAACAGTCCTTGGGATGCGAACGTAGCTCCATTCACTTTTTGAGTTGATTAGATCATCTTCTCTGATTTTACTCGTCACAAGAGACTCTGATTTGTCTTAACATCGCGTCAAATCCTGCTCTTCTCTCTGTATCGTAAATCTTATTTCCTCCTTTTCTATTGCAGCCAGAGCACCTTTGATTTCTATTTCATCCTCTGAGGACAACTGTAAAATGCAGGACCCCGACCATTTTATGTATCTTCTACTATTAACTTATTTTGGTCTCTAAGATAACACGATATGATGAGCTCATCAGTGCCTTAAGTTAACAAAATGATGAAAGCCTTGTCTCATCAGGAGCTCAGAAGGCAATCAAGAAAATAGGCACAAAATATTTAGCCACAGGAAGAATGGGGGGGGCTTCGGAGACAGGGCCTATTTCCACACGTTTCGACGCCATGATTGTGCCATTTGGCTGCGCTCTACGTTCCATTATGTTGTTTCAAGATGCTTTTTGCTGCTTACTACAATAACCTGTTACATTAAAATTTGGGGCCCTTACGCTTTCTGTCACAGCAGTTTTGTAGAGGCTAGCCATTTTGAAAATCAGACTGCAAAGCATTGAGTAAGTACACTTAGATACATGGTTCCCATGAAAATACAGAAATTAGATTCTTTACCTTGTATTGGAAGCAAATTTTTCTTTTCCTTTGTTACTTGAACTGCCGACGTTGAAAAGTTGGCGACGCAATTGCCTTGATTTCGCTAGTTTATTTAAAAAATCAACGTTAGGAAAGCGTTCTTTCCATGAGCTAGCTATGCTAACGCAAGTCTGCATTGAGTCAGTCTAACGGCCAAGATGCCTTTCTCTACCAAAATGTGGCTGGAGAAGCTGTACTGAAAAGGATTGATACCTCTGCTTTAAGAAAAGATTTATTACAGATCAATGGAGTATATGCTAGGATATCTAAGTTAAAATATGAATTGTACGATTTGAGAAAGAGGACTGATTTGAACTATGTGGCACTTGGCGTTGTAATGGCATGCAAGGATGAAGGGCAGAGATTGGAGTTAGAGGAGAAAGAAAAATGGTATGTGGGTGAGGTGAAGAGGTTAAAAGCGATAGTTGTAACTGTTGTTGGGACTAGGACAAGATTATCAACAGTGGAATAAAAGGAATGGACAGTCTTAGAGGTAGAGTTTATTTATCGAAACAAAGAATAAAGAGGCAGGTGAGAGGCGGCCTGGTGATTGTGTCTGAGATAAGAGAGACTTTGAGGCTTTTCACGAGGCTTGTGGCGGAACGGGATGTGTTTCACGAAAAGGACTATATAACAAAAATAACCAAGGCAAGGGAGGATGAAGATAGTATGGCCTTCCAGAGGGAGTGCCGTGGGGACTCGACTAATCTACATGATTTCACATCAAGAGAGGTTTCTTTGGAAGAACGCGAGATACTAAATTGCGGGGATGGCTTTGTACCTAGAAGATATGGTATTACTGGTGCAAGAGAGAGACAAAGAGAGGTGCAGCAACAAACAGAACTTCCTTTATTGCAATATTCTCACTGAATAATTTATTAACGCACCGTGAAACGACCAGTAAAACACTCCGCCGTGCTTAGGGACGCATCGGTGTACTGCAGGCTCCCCTTATAATTAGAATACACCAAGTGGCTTTGATTTCATTGTGTCACAGCTCCGACCGCCAAGACGACTTATCCAGGTTCGCTTGTATCGGCTTGTCTACCAAAACCCGCCCTCCTTCGATTCCTTGCACTTTCAGCTAACGTCAAACCGTCTTTCCACGACTACATGGTGGAAACAGCAGGAGAAATACTAGCTTTGGCACCGGTTTCAGCAGAAACGCCTGCTAACCTAGACCCTCCAGCAGAACCTCTCGCAGAATCGGCGGCCAACCCGCGGCTGCTAATCAGTTAATTTCTAGGTTCCGGTGCATTTTTCTCGTTCTAAGCTTTAGTTACCCGTTGTACAATGCGTTTCGTGTCTTTTCTCCAACGTTTGGGTTATTTGGTTTTCTTGCAAGTTTTGCTACCTTGTTTAGCATATTCAACGTTCCACTTGTCCCTAGGGCATAATTTTCGTTTTTCCTTTGCCTCCTTCTGTTAGTGTTGTTCGTGCATGTATTTCATTTTAGTTGGTCCTTTTTGTTTTGGCTTGTTTGTGTTCCATTCGGCTCCGGGAGCGGATTTTGTTTGGAACGAAATATTTTTGTTTGTGTCTGCGGTCCGGGACCGCTCGTCTCCAGGAGCCGGTTTTGTTTCTGAAAAAATTGTTCGGGGTATACGGTCCAAGACCGTTCGTCTCTGTAACCCGGGTTTTTGTTTAAAACCAAGTATTAGTGTATACGGTCCGGGACCGTTTGGCTCTGGGGGTCTGTTCTTTGTTTGGGACGAATTTTCCTTGGTTGGGCTCTAGGAGCCAGTTTTCTTTTCTTTGGAACGAAATGATATTGTGTTTGCGGTCTGAGATCTTTCGGCTCCGGGAGCCGGTTTTGGTGATAGACGGTCCGGGACCGTTTAGCTTTGAAGGAGGAGCAAGGCGTTGACGTTGTCACCGCTGCTCTTACTTCTGTTCGCAGCGCTCTTCAAAAGCCGGAAACTGTGTATGACCTTAGGAGGCTTCTGCTTACGTCGAGGCCCTGGTTCGAGCAGCCAGGTCATCTACCCATGACAAGGCGGACTATTAGGCGGCCATTTTAAATGAATTGAAAGGAGGAACTAATGCCCTCTCCGCCTCTGCTCATAAAAGACCGCTCATGGGCCCCTTAAGAGATCCGGTTAGAGCCAAACTGCAAAGGAGTCCTCTGCGCTTTTCAAGACTATCCAACGTGAAGAGCCTGGGTTTAAAGGTCGTAACAGTACCCGCCATTTTAGGCGCCAACGCCCTTATGTTTACAGTCCGGTTAATTGCTGTAGATATGGCCTACCAGGGCATTTGGCCAGAGCTTGTGGCCGCGTATGTGGCCGCTAAAACTGTAGGCGTTAGCAAATGATGTACGGGTTGTAAGGCCATGGGACGCGTTTTTTCTTTGTCCGTTTTTTGTACCTCTGGAATTTATAAAACATTATTTTACACTCTCGCTCGTTTCTCAAAAGAACGGAGTCGTTAGACGTGCCTTTTTCTATGAGCCAGTTATTTTGTGGGGATACAATCCTACTTTGAAGCTCTCTAGTATCCCCACTTTACTTTGATCCTAAGTCTAACATATAGCTTGGATAACATATAGATCAATCTACAATACAGCATAAAATTTTTGGCGATCGGAGTAAATGTCACGTGGTTATAGTGCTACGCCTCTTTGGGGACTGAGTCGAAATTCTGCCGTTGCCGGCATTTTTTTTCATGAAAATCTATCGGCTGCAAATAGTGCGCATTAGTGCCTTGCGTTGAACAGAGTGTCACGAAAATCGCAAAGACCCAATGCGAGAAATTCAGTGGTTTTTAAATTTAGGTCATAATTTATGTGAAAATGATAAGCAAACTTTAAACGATTATATCTAATAAACTATGAGATTTATCCCTTTATTTTTGGGGATCTTCATAACAGATGGGTCCTTGCAAGTCAGCAAAAAGCTTTAGGGCCTCGTAAATGCGAGCGATTTCGAGCAATTCAAACATATAGGTATTATATTTTTAGCTATTTGTTGACGTTTGTCAGCGTTTAAGAGTCCTTCTCACGAAAAAAGCATTTTCCTAAAAATTCCCAGTCTTTACCCTTTAAATTGGGTCTTTGCAATTTTGTTGAAACTCTGTTCAACGCAAGGCACTAATGCGCATTATATGTAGCCGAGAGATTTTCACGAAAAAATGCCGGAAACAGCAGAGTTTCGACTCAGTCCCCAAAGAGGCGTGGCACTATAACCACGTGACATTTACTTCGATCGCCAAAAATTTTATGGCATATTGTAGATTAATCTATATGTTATCCATGCTATATGTTAGACTTACGATCAAATTGAAGGTAAGGATACCAGAGAGCTTCAAAGAAGGATGGTACCACTACAGAAAAACTGGGTCGAGTCACCTTAACCGATTTCATTGACACTACAGTCTTAGCTTGCGTCTCCCAGGGTGTTTTCAAATTCTACGGCAAGATTGGTGAATGCTCTCCTCCTCATTTAGTCCTTCCCTTGACAGTCGAACCATCTAAACTGCGTTTATGCCACGACGAGCGTTTCCTTAATTTATGGATTCGAGATCTCCCTTTCAAGTTAGACCACCTCAAAGATCTGCCTCGTTATGTCCTCCCAGGGCATTTCTAGATAACATTTGATGATAAGGGTGGATACCAACACGTCAAGATTCATCTGGACTGCCAGGAATTCTTTAGTTTTTCCTGGAGAGGCTAATATTTTTCTTTCTGCACCTTATCTTTCGGATGAAAAGCAAGTACCTATTTATATCATAACGTAAGCCCTGTCGTCACCAGTACAACGCGATCTTTGGGCTTACCTGTTTAGCAGTATATTGATGACAGACATATGACCCAGTTATTCCTATCCGCCCCAGCGGCTTGCCAGCCTAGTCGCCAACTCGCACAAGCAGCAGTCTTTATCTCTGTATTCCTTCTCATTTCAGAGGGATACTTTGTTAACCTTGCAAAGCGTTCTCCACAGCCATCCACTTTTGTTAAATTCCTGTTTTTCATGTCCGATTCTGTATTGCAAGCCTTTTCAGTCCCACAAGATAATCAAAAAGTAGAAATTTAAAGCATTGCGTGACGAACTCTTGGGATCATCTTTTGCGCCCGTAAAGAACTTGCAGCGTTTCGCAGGAAAAGCACTATCATTTAATCTTGCAATCCCGGCTTGTAAGCCGTATGTACGGGAGGTGTTCAAATCTATCAGCGCTGTTGCCAAGAATTCGAAGATTTCTGTTCCAATTCAGGGACCTTAGCGACAGGAACTTCGGGAATGGACTTTCTTGGACAACTGGCGTTGTCACTTACCTTGGTCTAAGCCAGCAAATACGAGATTATTGGATCAACCTTGAAGGCGATATAAATGCCCTTAAATGCCCCTTTTTCCCTTCTATTAGAAACGCAAGAATCGATGTGTGGACAAACAACGTGACTTTCCCAGCAGCCGGGGAAAATGGCGGTTGTAGGAGTTCTCTAGTGAAGAAGGAATTTAAAAATATAGAAGAAAAGTCTCGAGCTGAAAACTTTGCTTTGCATTTGAAATATGTCACATCGAATAAAAACATTGATGAGGGGCCCTCCCATTGATTGTTTCTTGTCCGACGAAGCGTGGGCCCGAGTTTCAAGCGAGGTTTGGACCACAGACGTTTAACTTGATGTCTTTGGACAGCAACTGTCGCAGAGGAAGGGATAGAAGCCTGTTGCCTCATTACTCTCCTTAGCCGACTCCGTATCCTTCGGGAGTTAATGTTATTTGCACAAACGATACAGATGAAACATAACGTCTATGTCTTTCCTCCTTTCGTTCTCGTGGGACTTTTGTTGCAGTACTTTTTTGATCAACGCCAGTGTTTCGCTTTTACCGTCATTGTCCCTCGTTTACAACGGCATCGTTATTGGTGGGTAATACTCCAAGCTATGGCGGTAGATTCTTTTCTTCTTGGGAGGAAGGTGATTCGGCCGTATTGCTTTTCCCTTCCCGCACCTCCCCGGATTTCATTGCTAGGCCTTACCATGGGATCTGTGCGCTTTTCGTTGTATCTGCTCCTGGTAAGCTGTGTACATAGATCGAACGCACATGGAAGCCTGCCTACAGATGTCCCGCCTGCTCTTATACAAACGACAGTGACGCGAACTTTTGCCAAGCCTGCGGTAAACCTAAGTCGCGTGAGCCAACGCAAGGGGCCCGTTGAAATGTAGACATGCCTCTGATCAACTTGTAAGCGCTTTACAGAATTCCAAGAATCACTCAGAAACAAACCTTATGAATGGCAAAAGGATTCATTAGAAGTGCAGCTATTGAGTTTCTTACGCTCTCTTGTACCCCCAAACAAATTTTCTGCTGCGATCGCGGAAGACATCGTAATGTTTTCGATTAGCATGGATGCCGCGGGAAAACAAAAACTCCATGTAGGCTTATGCTCTAGTAAGACCTGTAGTTGCCCTATGCGTCTGGCGGCTGGAACTGTCGATTCATATATAGGGAAGCTTAGAGCGATTTCAATAGGTTAAGCCGTACAGGGTTTTCTAACCCGTTGGTACATCCTTGTGTTAAAGAATATCTTAAGTTTGTATGAGAGGAGCAAGTTCAGCGACCTTTGTAACCTCGTCAGGCTGTCCCAAATTCACCCGTTTAATTGCCTATCTTCGCGGGCTTATTACCGAAGGCTCTTTGCTTTCTCCTCTCAATAGATACCTCCTGGTCAGAGATATAACATTCTTTGTGACAGACTTTTACACCGGTGAAAGAGCATCCGATTTGGGCCGTTTAAAGGCAGATGAGATTTTTCGCCTTACGAATATGGAGGGGTTACTTCTTAACTAGACGTTTAGTAAAACGAGGCGTACAGGTCAGTTACACTCCTTTTGCTCTGTTACGTATACCAAATGTATCTGTCTGCCTAGTATTTTGGTTGATCTATTATATTGCCGCATGTGGGGCGTTAGGTGTCCCTCTTCTGGATGAGATCCTCGAAACATAAAAATTTTGTGTCACATCGTCCGTTTGGAGAGTCAGCCGTATCTGCACGACTCTAAAAGTATCTTAAGGCCGCCGGCATAAATTACGAAGAGACTCCTCACAGCTTTCGTGTAGGGATTTCATACACCCTTAAGGGTTTGGGTTGTACTCTGGAGCAGATTGCCCTGTACGTGGGTTGGCGGAGCACAGAAATTGCCTTGTATTACACGCGCCGCTCCAGTGCTTCTACTTCTTTGCAGTTGATAGAACGGGTTACACTCAATCTCACTTCTGCAGGCTCTCCTCCCCCGCTGCAACTCTCTGACCAAGAGAATTTGAAGAGAATTTTGTACAGTTGAATTATATCTTTCATGACTTAGGGACATTCATTCTTGTACACTAGGGTGGTTATTTATGTCATTTCTATTGGATATTAACTTGTTGTTAGTTAATAACTGAATCTTTATTGAGTTATGGAGTATTGGGTGTTGAGTGTCGGGAATTGAAATTATAAGGTCGATGTGCCTTTTGGGGAAGGACGGAGACCTAGGTTTTAGCAGACTGCCTCAGGGAATGGTAAGGAGCGGATCTCTCTCCCATAAGTTAGTTTTACGATGTGTTAAGTGTTAAGGTTTCAATTTTACATTTGTCCTCAACTTAGTCTTTCTGGGTCTCTTCCTGCCTGCTAAATGCTCAACATAGTACTACATCCTCACTGTTTACCACTTAAAACATCGTAAAACTAACTTATGGGAGAGAGATCGGCAGATTGTGGCGGAAAGAGGTAGGCCGCAAGAATAGATCGCGAGATGCGAGGAGTTGTCTACCAACACCAGGGGAGGAGGGTGGGGCGAACCTTGAAAAGTCGTCTCGGCAGTCGGAGCTGTGACACAGTGAAATCAAAGCCATGTGGGGTATTATATTTCTAAGGGGAGCCTGCAGTGCACTGATGCGTCCCTAAGCAAGGCAAAGTATTTTACTAGTCGTTTCACGATGCGTCAATTAATTATTCAGTGAGAATAGCCTTATATGTACACCCAATAAATAGCAAACATCTTCGGTCAAGAGCCATAATGGCTCTTGATCACAGCTGTAGATAAGGCCTCGAAAACAAATTCTCGGAAAACAAATCAGGCTGAATTTTTTTGCGTTCCACAGGTTTAAATTCTTGCCAACAAATCTGGGGGTGTGTGTAAACCAACCTTTTATACTTTTTATACATCACATCTGAGGTGAAACAGTACGTACAATTTATCATACAGACCTCGCACAGAATGCGGTATTTCACAATTTTTCAAGACAAATTGCACTCAGTCAATGTTCAGGACGATCAATCGTGGGCTTTTAGCGAAACCGTTCAAAAAATTTCCAAAATCACCAATAGGACCGGTCGGTTCTCGTTTCTAGTGCGAGCTGTCAGTGTAATCGAGTGTTTGAATGAACTTTAATAGAGTTACGTTTCAACATAATAACGAATTCATTATTATTATTTTTTGTTATTGAATGGTTTCAGTTATAACGATGTGTAATCTTATAAAGCGTTTGATACGCGCGACATTTTTTTCAAGTATTCCCGCCAGTGACGTTCATGAATGATGAAAACAAACGCCACGGACGAGCGATTGAAATTGCAAGAGAGTACTAACAATCAATAAAAGAAAGATAATTCGGTGAAACATTTACAGAGACAACAATTTTCATTCACGAAGACAAGTATTAAAGTGTCTCTAAAAATCCTGAGTCTTTAAACTTAAAAGTTAATTATGTTTTACTTTAATTTCAGCCGGCCTCCCGGTGTTTGCTTTTTTCAAAGATGGCACTTCTCGAAGCAAGAAAATCGCTCAAAGTTTTCTTTCTACAGCCAAATTTATAGCTAAATATTCTTCGGGACGTTTTCTTTCTATTTGTGGTGAGAAAATATATCTGAAGGCTTTCTACAGTTCTGTAAGCTTATATCAAACCTGATACTAGGTCAGATCATTGACTCAAATCTTACAAACGTGCATAAACTTGCTGCATAAACTGTGCTCGACTTCGTGAAATTAGATATAACAAAAAACAAACATCAAATACAATAATTACTTAGGCTTACCATTCGAGATTCAGTTCCTGAAAGATATCATGGAAGGCCACAGTTGCTTGAGACTTTTAAGCCCTCTTACGCCTTAAGCAAGGTGGAAAACGAAAACGATGCAATCCGAAATCGGATTACCGAATTTTGACAAGCAACGCATTTCTCAACCAAAAACCCAATAAACAAACCAGCCATGAATAACAGAAGACTCTTGATAGCAGCTGTATTTCATTTTGTACATCCAGTGGAAAAGACAGTTAAACACATTACAAGTTGACACAAAATTCTGCCAGCTTCTGCTCTCAAAGTAAACGACTTTCATGACGCTGCATAAATTTTCCGCATGAACTCACCTGTCAATTTTTGACCAATCAGAGTATAAGAATTGGACGCAGAGCGTGACCAACGCGTGACCATCGTAAGAAAAGGTCTTCCCCGCATGTATTTAAAAAAAATGGCTGAATTTTCGCGTCCGAGGTCAGTTTGAAATCAAAATCTTAACAGTGCGGGGTCATAGTGACAAACACAACATATTTCATATGAATCATTGGAAAAAAATGAACTTGAGCCTACGATCATTTGAAACTGGTAATTTGTCAGCAGATAACTTCAAAAAAATACTCGACTTCGATGGGTGGACACTTGAGCCCGTGGTACGGTCAGATGATACTGGTCAGCGGATACCAGGAGCCGATTAGCCGGAGCCTCCATATGTGCTGTACCCTTGAGTCAACCCTTTCCGACGAAGAATTATTTTTAGAACAGGCTTTCCCGCGAAAATACATTGTTTCCGAGAACGTCCGCATATTGCCGTCGTGAGAAAAAAAAATGGCGTCGGAAGAGGGAAATTGGCCAACAAGTTTTCTCCGTGTTCCACCACCGTTTTCCTTTATATTTTATCCATTCCTTCTTTTACGATCGAGGGAAGCTGGTTACTAGTTAAAACAGTTAATATATGACTGTAATGAAAGTGTTGGAATATATCCAGCGTGTGTTTACTGTCCCGGGTAAGACCAGGGCGATTACCCAGTTCGAATAATTGTTTAGTTGGATGCTATGGAAACAATCCTTTTGAAAGAGAGTTTTTTTTAAAAAAATGAAGCGTTCTGGTGATGAGTTGAATTTTTCTGAGGGAGAACGAAGTAGTAAAAGCAGGAAGACGTTGAATTTCGCCCGCGCCGATCGCGATGGTACCGAAGCAAACGCAAGTTCTAGTAGCTCGATTGGCGATGTTGCCGGCCCGGAAACTGCAAAGGAAAAGCTAAAAAGAAAACTCCTTCAGAGGAAAGATGACGGGGCGGAGATACTGGAATGTTGGCTCCGAGAAATTTTAGCCGCAAATTTAGTTGGTGAGATACTAGATCTTACTATCGAGCACTCCCCCTTCGAGAGCTCAGATGAAACTGCCACTCCTGGCCGAGTACTCGTGTTGTATCCATCTGAAAAACACACCTACGACAAACAGACAGGACCATTCCAGCCTGTTCGACTTATTGTCAATGTTGACCGCTCTTGGAGTTTACAGTGTCCAGTATATGAACATATGATTATCAAGTCGGGCAAACTTCAAGAAACGGCGAATGGCGCTATTGTCGATCTTGCTAAGAACCTTCTTTGTTCTAATCAAACACTTTGCCCGGGATTTCTGGAAGACGTCGAGGCACTAGGATATGAGCCCAAGAATATCCGCATTATGGCTGGGCCGGTGAGAAGTATGCATTCAAAGAGGTGTAAAATTTGGCATATTCCTCCGCGTCTGACGAAAGAAAGATTAAATGCCTCTGACCCTCGGTGGAAACGAGTATGTCTCGAGTGTTTAGACGCCACAAGGTATGTGAAGAATCAAGTGAAGAAGAAAAAAAACTTGGATGAAACCACAAAGTTAAAGAGGCAAACACCAAGTAGTCACTTCCCGTGGAGATACCTTTCTCCTGGCAGCAAAACTAAACGTGCAAGGAACATTCGTCAACAACGATCGAGGCTGAGCAAACAAGTTCAGCGATTTTACAAGCGAACGAAGATTGAGTTGCCGGGTGAACAATCTAAGGAATTATGTAATCTCATCCAAGCAATTGAAGGTTCTGAGACAGGACAGAGAGAGCTGAAGAAAATTACTGCAGAAGGAAATAAGCTTGAAGGAAAAGGGGGTTTAAAGGCAGGAGACTGCATCAGTGAAGTGTGGCAAAAAGACCGAGCGAGCTTCTTCAAGGACCAACAAAGCAACGGTATGGATTCAACAGAGTTGTTTTAATTTTTGTTCTTTTTAAGTACTTTTTTTTATTTCTGTTATCGTTTTTTACCTTTTTTTACTCCTATAAATCAGGCATAGGGAAATAAATTAACTTAATCGTTCTCAGGAAAATTCTACCTAATTAAAGAGGGTTCAGTTGAATCTGAGCTGCTGGTTGCATGTGGTAACTTCTTCGAAGGATTTGGGCCACAAAATTTAAAAAAACTGAATAATCTAATCTCACCACTACTTTTCTTGTCCATTCTCTACCAAAATATGTGGTCAAGCGATTTAAAAGCCATTGAGATTGGCAAGTATGCATGTATGATGATAAGTACTAAATTTTCACATGTACTATACCCTTATTCCTGCAGCCTAGACAGATTAGACATCTGTTGGTGTCGAGTTAAATATATTATATAGCACATCTCTGCTTATTACTGGAATTACACTGTTCATGCACACGAACCCTGTACAAGCCAAAAGTGTAGTACGGAAAAGGTGACATTTACATCTTGAGCACAGTTTGGTTACTCACATTAAATTTTCTTTACTAACAGTGACTGGCAAAAAGGGAAACAGATGGTCACTATCCACGATCAGGGTTGGTAAGTACCAGTGAAGGTTTCATTTTTGCCTTTTTCACTCAGTTGTAAATTACTGTACATCTAGGACTGCAATCACATATTGTATCTATTCAATTTGGCCCTAATGGGTGTATGCCATGGTCTGCTTTATAAATGAAATTTGGTCAAAACTAATTGTTAAACAAACTAATGGTGGCAATTTGTACAATGTGTTACATTCCTTCTAATTGTTGTTTCACATATTATGACTGTAATGCCTTCTCAAAAAAATAATTACATCACTAGAAATTTAATTTGCACGTAACTTTTTACAGCTCTTGCAGTCTACAACAGAAGCCCCTCTGCTTATGAGGCTCTGCGAAATCTTACCATTCTTCAGCTACCACGTACGAAGGTTTTAAAGAATGTTTTAAAGGATGGTGCTGAGCAACCCGGAATTGATAAAAATTATTTCCAAAGTCAACAAGCAAAGTACAAAGAGTATCAGGAACAGAGGGAGAGTGGTGGACACCCACAGCCTCTTGGCATTGGAGTAATGATGTGGGATGAAGTTAAGGTAAACCTTGAAAGTTCTAGAAGTTATTGTTATATAATTTTATTCTTCCTTTACATAAACTTGATCTGTCAGCACATAATATTCAGGATTCCTTTTAGTTAGTACCATCGCATGATAATATATGTTATATGTTTTATTTTAAACACAAATCAAATTTAATTCAAAGTTTTAAAGCCACTTGGTTAGGGCAAATGTTCATTATTTTACACTGTAATTTGGAGTCATTTATTTGGCTAATCGGAACACAGCCTGTATTCACCCATTTGTCTTTCAGATACAGATGAAAGTTGCCTGGAACCTTAAGGGTGGCTCCATCTCAGGCTTCACCATGGCACCTGATGAACTGCCTGTTTTAGATGATGTATACACATCAGCCATCCAGAGTGGATGCCACAAGACCAGCTATATTGTTCAGTTTCTGTGGAGGGACCTGACCTCAGGGTACGACATGATTGGGCCTTACTTCCCTGTTTCAAGCTCCGTGGATTCGAACATCCTCCAGGAATTTTTTCTGCTGAGCCTTAAAGCATTTAGCAACTATGGATTTAAAGTATCAATTGTCCTTTGTGATGGAGCATCCTCCAACCTGACCCTTCTGAAACTCCTCTGTGGAAGTCCAAGGGCAACACTTCCTGTAAATGAGGATGCAGATGATTTGAGAGGACGGTACTTTGCTAACATGTCATTTGTTAATCCTGAGGATCCAAGTGGCAATCCAATTTTTGCCATGATTTGCCCCAGCCATCAGGTATTATTTTTTTCAAATAAATAATCAGCACATCCAGATCAGGGAGGCGCCCAAGCTTACCGTGGGCATTCTCTATAATAAACATTGAATTGCTGCGCATATTATAACTATATTTCACGTCCTCATTTTGTGCATATGAAATTGAGAAATAGCAGATATACTGCAATAATGGCCATGCATATCTCATAAGTCAATGAAATGATTGGACATTTCTTCTAAAAGGAATTGTTCAAACATAAAGCACTTGTGTTGCTGAATGTCATTACCTTTTATTGTACCGTTAACATATAATTAGAGAAGCAGTTAGCAAGAACCAGGTACAGCACAGCTAATTGGTAATCACAAGATTTTTTTCACCTCCAACCTAGGCCTGATCCAGTTGCTACAGCTTGTAATGATGTTTTCCAAAAACAATTGCATGCATACTGATTAATTCTCTCCTAATAGTAATATTTTTGTTTCAAGCTGAAAAATATGATAGCTGCATCGTATAGTTCAAGGCCCACTGGTTCTAAGAAGCTGACATTGGAGGGAAGACAGTTTGGGTGGGAAACTATTGAGAAAATCTACGATCAAGAAATGAAAAGAGCTGAGACAGGAAGAAGCCGTAAAGTGCCGGGCTTAAAGTATGCCTTTGTCTACCGAGACAATTGGACACGACTAAATGTCAAACCAGCCAAGATCATGCAGGTGATTGAATTATTATATAATTGCAAATAAGTAAGATATATATCTTTTGTAATTTATGTGGGTTCTCTAAAGAAAAATATAATGCCTTTCTCCACAAAAAAATCTAGGTCTTTATAAAAGACATGTCACATTGTAGTGAAAATATTCTATTTTCCTTTTGATCTGTAGCAAAGATACATGATTTCAGCCGTTAAAGACCTGTCAGAGGAGCCTAATCAGGATAGATCTAAACCGGTGGCCAGCTATCTAGAAGCATGCAATCTGATTTTCGAGAATGGTCTCTTGAGCCGACGCAGAATTAACAGTTTAAATAGCCCTGTCATTCAGAATATAAAGAAGGGAATGGATTTCTTTGAGAAATGGTGCCGCAGTCATGAAGAAACTAGTATTAATATTTTTAACATTATTTTGAGTGTACTGGTTTAAATAAATTACTAACACCTGAAGCTTTCACTTAAGTAGCCACACATAATATATTTATTAATGAATCAAAAAAACTAAAAGGACAAACAGGTGTGTTACTTTCTGGTTACTCGAAAGAGTACAGAAGGCAGGCCTTCTAATGCAAAGCATTTACCTGTATTTTTGAGATGGAAATAATTATTTTCTTTGCTTTAAAAATGTTACTTCAATTTTTGATATTAATGATGTGTCTACTTATATACTCATTTGCTGGCGAGTGAAGAATATTTTGCAATAAACACTGCCTATGAACTCTTACCATTTGGATTGTGAAGTAAACAGTACTCAAAGAGGTTTCATTTTTGCCCATAGTTTACCCTGACAACACCAAGAAATCCAGACAGACAAAGTTTCTTGCATGGCAGGTAAGTTTTTTTTAAAGACTAAGTTAGTTTAATTTCATTGTTGCTTGAATAAAATTAAATCAGTGCACTGACTAAAAAACTAATTTTGAACAATATTCACCTCCTCAGCCCTACTGTTGACACTCAATGAATAATTTTTTTGAATGCTTCCATGTAAAGAACTACAGCCATAGGTCATGTCAGAACTACTAAGTCAAAACAATAACCTTATTATAACTTGCCAAAAGAAAGAAGGCATCATCAATGTCTGTGGCAAACAAGAGACTTGCATTGGCAGTAAAGTTATAAGAAAAGTTGCTCAAATTGATATATTTTCACTGATGAGTCTCCTCCAAGCATATGAAGAGAGCAAGGAAACCATAGTCATATGATTTTCATAATCATTTTGATGTTAATACTAAATTATTCTTTTTATGTTCTCTGTCCTAGACTTGGGATCTTCTTCGAGTTGTTGTGCATGGATTCCTTTTATTCTGTGCATGGTTTTTTACCTATGTCTCCCCGGATGGGAGGTACTTTATTAGCCTCCTCAGAATCAATGGCAGTGCATTAGAGTCAATTTTTAGTGTGCTCAAACACACAAGTGGAGGAAATCTGTCTGCCATTGCCTACTCACCTGCTTTAGGCAGGTTGATTAACAGGAAAGATTTAGTTGTAAATCAACATTCAGAGAAAGGTTACAGAGACCAGATTTTAAACGTAGATGGGCAGTCAATTACAGCTGACAACCAGATTTCTGTTAAGTGCACAAATGTTTCTAGGTCTCTATGTCAGTTTTCTTTTCCTTCAACCATAGCACAGTCCTCGCTAGGAGGAAGGCAGGGCAGCAATGCTTGCACAATTATCGCAGTTAGGTTTGGGGACTATGCAATGATGCATAAACTAGATATTTCATTACTTTGGGGGCAGCTGCCTCAGTTGTGGATCACACTATTTGTAAATGCTATATGTGATGGTAATCATATATATGATGATCATTTTGGTGACACAGCTGTTTACTTAGATGTAGAAGACGTAGTCCAGGCTTCAGGCACTGAGTGCAATGTCCAATCAGTAAGCGCAATTTTTGGCTTTAATAATGCAAATGGGTTTGCTGATTTAGCAGCACATTTAGGAAATGTTCTGCAACCATCCTATGGAGTCTTAATTGCAAATGACAAGTCAGTGGGAATTTTAGTTCAAGCAAATGGCCTTTGTGCCTTAATTGATAGCCATGTCCACAACAACAGTGGTGCTGTTATATTGATGGCCGATTGTCCGAGCAATCTTATTACTGCTTACTCAAGACTGCTGTTGGATCAAAATTTAGTGCTTAATATTGGCATCTTTACTTGGGTGCATTATTTAAGTGCCTAGTTCATGAGTGTGAATGACACATTTGTTGAGGGGAACTAATGCCACCAAAAGAGTTGCAAACACTTTGAGTATATTTTGACTGCAACCGCCTCGATCACATTCAAAGGAATTGTATCCCCATATTGATTCTTAATGAGCAATGTTGAAACAGAATTTGTTCTAGTTTTGCCCCTTGTAAATATAATTATGAAGGAAAGTAAGTTTTGTGCACTACTACATATGTGGGCTGAATGTTGTTGATAAGAACATTGGCCTCTCTTCTTACATTCACATTGAAATAATATGACTGAGTATAATGACAATTTGAGTTTCTGTTTTCTGTTGTAAATAACGAAAGTCTTGCTGTGCAATTTAAAACAAGTATTCATTTATTAAATTCAAGGAAAGTTTGCACTCAACAGATTAGTGTTAGTATACATATGTACAGGTATAATATCATGACACATTATTAATTATTACATCTTGGGAGGACTCCATTGGATTTCCTCAAATAGAAATAAAGTGCAAAAAAGAAGAGCCCTTATTCAGGGTGTTAATTGGACAAGTGTAATTTAGTCAATAAACATTTAAGGAAGGATAATATGATTTTCTCACCAGTCAACCTGGAAGAGTGGAAACCATGGCTACTAAGAGATTGCAGGAGGGGTTTACCTTAGGGCGATGGTTCTAATCTCAACAAAAACAATATTTAAAACTTCCTGTCATTCTTAAGCTTCTCATACTTTCAACACAAACACATTAGGAATTAAGCAATAATTTTGGACTTAGATACATTATGCCTATTACTGTATTCTTTTTTTCCTATGTGCTTAAAGTGTATGGTTCACAGGGTTGGCTAATTGGCTCCCTGTCTAGATTGTTACTATAAAAAAAATAAAAACATCAAAATGGAATCACAACAGGAATGCATTCTTATTTTTAAGATAATAAAAATATTGACCTCCTTAGGAAAATTGTCAGTATCACAAGGAAAATTCAAATATAACTGATGGAAACTGGTCGCTTCGATACAACAGAAATTACACACAAAAATTATACCTCAACTGAGTCTTGCATGATTCGAAACGACGTGAAACTTTGACACTGAGGCAGAAATGCTAAATATTCTACTTGCGTTTTGTGGCTAATGCGTACGCTTTTAAGCGAGGTCTGAGCATCTCATCAGCGTCAACCACCTTATTTTGTCCTTTCAGTTCCCTTTCAATCCTTGCATTCATAAATTCGTTGATTCGAGTATTTGCCAGCTTTGACACCAAGTCTTTGAATAGACCAACCATTATTTCCGTGTCAGTGTCCTCCAAGTTCGTAAGGGAAACGACGAGCAAACGAAAGTCCATTTCAAGGGTTTCATTGTTTAGAACTGCGTTCTGACACATGCTTAAAAACTTCGATGGGTATCGACGAAGGTTACTGTCCGTTGCAAATTCACGCACTTCGTTATCAACAGATCGCAGAAACGTGATCATCTCAGCTCTGGGAAACACCAGATTCCCCTCATCAAGATTTTTCAGACTTGAGGAAATGGCCGATTTATCCTTCATGACGAGTTGCTGTAAAATTTCTAACTCCTGCTCCATAACTGGTTTCCGCTGTTTTGACAAATCTCCCCGTCCTTTTTTTCCGGCAAGAGTCTCCTTCCGTAGTTTAATCATACGCTGCAGAGCCGCTTCACAATACCGATACAAAGTATCGTCCGATTCTTTTGATAGTTGACATCTTCTTCCATTGATACCTTCACCAGCCGTTTCGCTTTCCGTCTTTCTTAGGCGTACATGTTCATGTATGATCGAATAGACCAACTCGTGAATAACACTCACAACACAATGAACTTCATCTCGAGAGTTCGTGTGTAAATTCGCCAATAATCTTTCTAACATCATTCGCTCCTGTGTAGGTTTTCCGGGATGAAAATTAGCCAAGAATTTCATCCAGGACACTGAGAAAGCCGCTTTTTTGTACTTGTCTTTACTGTCGAAAGCTTCTTTGGCTAAAGTTGAAAATTTCCGGCAAAATCCAGCGATCAACAGTTGAAACAACTGCTTCTGAGCGACGCCTAAGATATGTTCCACAACCTTTATCCGCTCAGGCTCCAATTTTATTCGTGGATCGTCCTTAAGGGTTGCCCTTACTTCGGTTTCTACCTTATTGGATTCTTCCGAACTAAAAATCCAAGAGAACAGCGTTTCCATTTCTTCATCGTTAAGCGTTGCATCTTTACCTTTCTTTGTACGGGTTCCACTCCGCGTTGATTTTGCTGCCGAAGAGCCGCTCCGTTTGGGTTTTCGCTTTTCTTGGCTTAAAGAAGCCGCAGGAGTTTCCTCATTTGATTCTCCTTCCTCCCTGCTATCAGAAGATGTTATTGAGTCGCTAGAAAGCACGTAACGTGCCGAACTATCATCAGATGACTCCGATAAATTTTCCCCCACGCTTTCCGCCATTGTTGTCAAAGGGTTCTTCATAGCACGAAAAAGCATATGTAAATGAGCATTACTAAGCTGCGCTCTGATTGGTTATTACGGACAACGCATTAGGGCGTGACAAATTTTCCGCGGGAAAGCCTGTTCTAAAAATAATTCTTCGTCGGAAAGGGTTGACTCCAAGGGCTTGTATGGGAGATGGAGGCTCCGGGTAATCGGCTCCTGCGGATACCCTGTTTTGACAGCTGTCAATTGATCACAACATTGATGTGCAATTAGTTTTCTCTTGGGCTCCCAAACTAGCTAGAAAGTGTGAGAGTAGACATTGGTTTCCCTGTGGTGCGGACGGACGGTCGGGCGTACGGTCACGTGATTACCAAATTTTCTCGGATGGGTAGATTACCACATTTCCTTACCTATCGGGCTCCACCCACGCACGCGCTTCGCGCGCGGGTGGAGCTCCGCTACAAAGTCAGGGCACAAGCAGGAGTATTACAGACACTTAACCACTTATTTTTATCAAAGGTTTCAAACTGTAGAGGATGTAAATTTAGTAAAGGAGAACATGCAGGCTTTCTTTTTTGTTAAAACTTAGAAAGTTCATGCGGCATTTAACAAGAGAAGATTTCCTTAGCTTTAATTTAGGGGCCAATCTGGATGATTATATATTGCCTGGTTTGAATCTGATACCTAAAGTGCATAAATTGACAGAGAAAGCTGGTGTGGCGATGGAACCTTTGCTGGGCACGCGTTTCCCTTCCAAAGCTACGAACTGATTTAGGTGGTCTTTTCGTATTTCCTATGGTTTACAGTAAGGATGATAATGAAGTTTACACCGTAGAGAAAGTATTAAGGAGAGCAGGGGTAGGGCTGCCTTTATTAATCTCCTTTTCTATTTTGCGGAAAGTAAACACAAAATTAAAGAATTTGCTTTGTACAAGGAGGCTTTTACAAGAAAAATGGAAAGAGTCAGAGCCTGGGTGTCATGGCGACCGGACGCGACTTCTGAGCTCCGCAACAAAAATGGCTTCCTCCTCAGAACCGCTCACTGTCGACAACATTCGAAAGTTCTGGAAGACAGAATTCCTTCCCAACATCAAGAACGAAATCAGAAACGAACTGAAGACTGAAATTGAAAAGGTAAACTGCCTGATAACTAATCTGTCAAAGCGTCTCAACTCGAGTGAATCGTCACAGCAATTGATCAGCGATAAATACGATTCCGTTTTAAAGTCAATGTAGTCGACCAAGAAACAGATAAACGATCTAAACAACTGGTGCGAAGCCCAAGACAACAAAATCAACCATCTTAGTGGCTCAGTCTACCATGCCAAGCAGCCATAGACTCCATCCAACAGTACTCGAGGAGAGACTGCCTTGAAATTTCAGGAATCCCAATATTGCCTTTGGATTCTCCAGCAAATCTAACACAAGAAATGGGCCAGCTCATCGGTGTAACAATCGACAAGCAGGACATTTCGATAGCCCACCGATTGCCCGATACTAAGGAGAAGGACAGATTTATTGTCAAATTCGTCCGTAGAGAAAAGCGTGACGAATTCTACAAGTCACGCAAGCACCTCGGCGGGAAAAAAGCAAGCGTGCTTCCAGTCGTGGCTTGTGAGATGGGGAAAAGCATCCACCAAGACTCTGCTATGTACATTAATGAATCCCTAACCCAGTATCGCAGTGAACTCTTTGGAGGGGTAAACAAATTCAAGAAGGATAACAAGTACAAATTCCTATGGACGAATAATGGTAAGATCTATCTACGTAAACATGAAAACTCACAGACATTTACATTTACAACATTTGAAGAATTCGAAGACTTCATTGCTCCATCACAATGAAACTTTAATATCTGGTTAATACTCCTTGTAATAACTTAGTAGTTAGTTAATAATGGCTTCTTCAAATGTTTGGATACCCCCATTTAATGATTTAGATGAAAGAGAATTTAGATTTGTACTCGGTTCTGGTAATGTCAGTGACTTCATCAACTCTGGTGTTGATTTGTACAAACTCCTTCCAAATCCTGACAAGTTCGATGAATCTGACCCTGATTTAATGTTGTCAACCCCTAGCTCTGAGTACTATTGCATAACTAATGCTAATAACCTTTTAGCTGATGGCTTCCATTTTTCTATTTCATTGTAATATTAGAAGTCTATCAAAAGACTTCGAGCTCTTACACGATCTTTCATATTGCTTTGATAATATACAGTACTGTGCAAAAGAAATCCAAATGAAATTCGGCGTTTTTCGTTCTTTGTTCTCGCAAAAATTGGACGAAATTTTCAAAAGAAAATTGTTTATTAATAACCTGGAAATTTCATTCGGCTCAAAGATAAAATTTTCACGCGTTATTATTCGTTATCGTCTCAATACCCTAAACCATAAGTCCGAATAACGAATAAGCTAGTTTTCACTGCAAGTCAATTAATTCAACTATCTGGTTTACGATCATCGCACGCGCGGCTTTATAGGTGACACTTAGCATTTATTGCAAGGTTGCATTGTTCCCTGATACTGGGCGGGTTAGGTTCATTTGGCTCTCTTGTAATTAAAATAATATCCCGTTTC